GACACATAAACAAGCATTTGACAGCACACATTTTCAATATATGGTGTTCTGGATGTAACTGAAAAAACTGAGACGTTGACTTGAATGAAATGTATTACTATTTCTTATTTAAACTTAACATATTTGCTTTCAATTAACCTAATACTTATGTGAAATCTGTTGACATATCCTATTTTATTAAAGCCAATGTTTCAGTTTTTTCAGTGCAGACTCAGAGGTATGGGAAATAATTCCTGTAAAATGTATGTTTTTCGAGGAAGCTTTAACAGGCTTTCACTTTTCCTGATATACAGTATATACACCCTCAATCTCAGCATGGAAGCGAGCACAACGCATGATACATATTAAAAAATACCAAAATGGTTGTCGGGGGCAGACGATTAGTGGCCTATCTTAATAATTCACAACGGTTTTCAAACGTTTTTTTTCTCTGCCCTTGTGTGTGTCATGTTCTCCTTGTCAGGCCAGGTGTTTCCTATCCCCCTGTGGGAGTTGGTATAACTGGATGTTCTTTATTTATTACTCAAATAAATAGTATTATATTTCACTGTACAGTATTTCATTTTAAATTGTGTTCTTGTTTATCCTATTCTATTTTACATATAGACTCCTGCGTTTACTGACAACCAAGTGAACGCAGGAGTGATCGGTGGCAGTTCTTCCAGTGTAGTTTTATTCATGTTTTCACATAATTTTACAGGATATTGCTATATTATTTCACATATTGTAGTTCTACACATTAATATCTGATTTGTAAAACATCATAGACAGAATGGTATATCCGTCATTTAATGGTAAGCTATTGAAATTCTGAATCCATAGATGTGTCTCCCATCACCCAAAACTATTCTCTCAACTCAGTATTTACATTCTTATATTCAAAGAAAATCAGTAATATCTTTAAAAACTACAAGTCCTTTTATATCAGCTGTGCACCGTTATGGTGTAAATATAACCTATCTACCAATTGGATCAAATATAAAAGTCAGCCGAATTAGTGTTGATACTGCAAGGAGACGTATTGTGTGAAGAGAAATTTAAGATGTTGTTTAATTGCCGATATATTTATGATCCACGTCACATATTCAGTTTCGGTGGCAGTTCTTCCAGTTTGTCTAGAAGTCTTCTAATCAGGGCTCTATAAATAAAGAACTACGGCAGATGTGTAATATTTAATGCAGCCTAACCGTGTATTACAATGCCGTTATGTGATGACTTCCAAAGAGAAAAGCAAGCACACTCGGAATAAAGTATTATTTATTTTTTCGGATTTCATATCGCATTAACACCATATCCCAACGTGCATTGCGGCTAAACAATCCAATCACCGAGCTTAAACCATAGCTGAGGATCTTGGGTAATCAGTTCAGTGGGTGTGTATCTTCTTATTATACATCCATGGTGTGTATCTATACATCCATGGTGTGTATCTATCACAATGATGCTCGAAATGTCCCTTATAGAGTGGCGAAGTCACGCCCATCTACTTCCGACCCATGGGACCTTATTTCGGAAAAAGTTTGTATTGAAGTCAATGGAGAGAGAAAGATTATCTTTCGATCCCGTTTGAATTGTGCCACGAATTACACATATGATGTTTGTCAATCTTAAATAATCATTTCCATGTCAAAAAAGTCACAGTTTGTCGTAAAACTGTTGAAATATAAGACTATGAAAAATACGCAACTAGAAAGACTACAAATCCCAGAATCCCGGTCCCGCATGCTGGCTCTTACGGAACCAACTAACTCCCCTTTTGTGTATGTACAGCTCTCAACATGCCCAGACTTGTAGTGATTTTCACCTCTTTTAATACTTTTCGCCTCATTCTGAAAGAAAGAAGTGAAATGTGCCAACGTGACGGCCGTCTTGGTGTGTGGTGCGAGACGGGAGATGTACTCATTGAGCAGTTTCACACAAAAAAAGTGTTACTTTACTTTTTACCGTTTTACGACACATTTTTATTTTTTTGACTTGTAAAATTATCTTTTAAATTGACAAACATCATATGTGTAATTTGTGGCACAATTCAAACGGGATCGAAAGATAATTTTTCTCTCTCCATTGACTTCAATGCATAACTTTTCCGAAATAAGGTCCCATGGAGTCCCACCGGAAGGGGAGGGACTTCGCCTGTAACTGAACGAGAGAGTAATGTCAAACTAGAGAATGCAATTCCTGAAGAAATTGCTAGTGGGAATGCTTTATGCTGAAAATCTGACGCTAAACTGCTATGCTGAAATGTAATGTGTAAGAAGAAAGTGAAGAATTTAGATTGAAATGATACATGAACACTGGGGGCTTGAATGTGTGATGAGAGAAGAAAAGAGAGTAAAAAGGCTTGGAAAAGCAGCAGAATATTTGAACTGTAAACCTTTGAACTAACTTGATGGTGAATGATCTGTCGCCATGCCAACGGCATTTGATGACATCCCATAATGAGCTTAGATGCGTTGATGGCTGCATCCTTCCAAACCTGTGAAGTTTTGGGCCATTTGGAGCATTTTCACTGAAGTTATGAGAAAACCGTGTTACATGGCGGGCATTGTGTTGCCATGGCAATGGCATGTCCTGTAGATGTCTTCACGGCTGGACTGTTAGCACACATGTGAAGTTTGAGCACTTTTTGAACATTTTCATAGGAGTTATAGCGACATCGTCTTTCATGGCGAGGGATGCGTTTCCATGGAAACGGCATATGGTGAGATCTCAGATTTGGCATAGAGCTGTTGAGGCATGGACCGGTGATATACAAGTGAAGATTGGGGGACGATCGGACTGTGTCCATTGGACTTACAGCGACATCGTGCTTCATGGCGAGTGGTCTGTCGCCATGGCAACGGCATTTGATGACACCCCATAATACGCTTAGATGCGTTGATGGCTGCATCGTTACCAAATCTGTGAAGTTTTGGGCCGTTTGGAGCATTTTCACTGAAGTTATGAGAAAACCGTGTTTCATGGCGAGCATTGTGTTGCCATGGCAACGGCATTTGAAGAAACCCCATAATTGACGTAGAGCTGTTGAGGGCTGGACCGGTGATATACAAGCGAAGTTGGGGGACGATCGGACCGTGTCCATTGGACTTACAGCGACATCGTGCTTCATGGCGAGTGGTCTGTCGCCATGGCAACGGCATTTGATGACACCCCATAATACGCTTAGATGCGTTGATGGCTGCATCGTTACCAAACCTGTCAATGTGACATCATCGTGTTCCATGACACAGGTGTTTATATTTGAGCTAACGACGACAGCTGTGTGTCACCAATAATGTATAAAATAGGTGGAACATGTTGAAGTCAGTATGAAGTCTCCATCAGACAGAAAATAATAGGCTCAGACAGTCTGTTAAACTCCAGTGACCACGTCGTTAGCTCAAACACGAACACCTGTGTGTTATGACATCATCGTGTTCCATGACACAGGTGTTTATATTTGAGCTAACGAGGTGTGCAGAGATCAAAGGTTTCCATTGTTCTGAGTGAGAGATGAACCTCTTACATTTGAATGAACAGTTAGAACTGACTGCTGTCAGTTGGAGTGATGACATCATCGTGTTCCATTACACAGGTGTCTATAGTTGAGCTAACGAGCTCTGTAGAGATCAAAGGTTTGCATTGTTCTGAATGAGAGATGAACCTCTTACATGTGAACGTTTTGTGGAAGAACGATAACAGATATGTGATATTTCAAAACGTGAAGCATGTCAAGGAAGTTGAGTATCTGAAGTGTAATTTTTGTGTACTTTCGGGTTAATAATGTGGCCTTTTTGGCAGTTTAACTAAAGGTGTGCGGCTGCTGCTGTGAGGAAATATCTGCCTGAAATTACAATGGGTTTTAATGGAGACATGTTGAACGTTTTTGTCACTTCATGCCCTCAAGAGGCATTTTGTTGAATTATTTTTGCTTAATTATTTGTCATTTTTCAAGCTACGAGATGTTTTCCTACGTTTGTCATGAAAAATTATGTCTCAAGAATGTAGGGTTTGGGAATTATGGCAGTTTTAAAAAAAAAATATGAAGGCATTTCAAGATTTCCTACCCTCCAGCTGTGACATCACGCACTCTAGTTAATGTTAAAATCTGAAGAAGGCCTCTGTACCAAGGTCTGAACAATGTTTAATATCTCTAAAAGTAAGAATCAGATTTAAAAGTTGTGTTACACGAATAATGTCAGAAAGATGTGTAACATTTTAAAGTTGGAATGAGGTATCAGATTTAAAAGTTGTGTTACATGAATAATGTCAGAAAGATGTGTAACATTTTAAAGTTGTTATGAGGTTTCTGAGTGAAAGTATGAATGAAAAGTTAGCAGTTGAAGTCGCATGAAGATTTGTTGAAGTCTGAAGAATGTCTCCATTGACTTCCATGTTAAAAATTGGATGAATTATGGGATGTATCTCTGGAATTATGAAAGTTATGAATGATAAAAGTAATAGCCATCGATTCCCGACCGAGCTGAACGTTTTGATGTTTGAACGGAGTTTCTGCGATGTTGAATGTGGGAGAAGACGGACAAAATAACTGGACGGAATAATAAGAATTTTGTCTGTAGCATAACATATAGTTGGAATGCTGTATCAGCATTCCCACTAATTAACAGTACAATTGACCAATCATATCTTCCCTCTAAATGGGTGGGTTTTATTATCGCGGACTTTATGACAAGTTCCGCCCGCTGTGAAGCTGTTCTTGTTTCCATAGCAACAATAACTTCCTGTCAACAGCGTAAACTCGCCTTCAAAATAAAAGCATGCCAAATTACACTTAAGACATACAACTGCAACGAAAGTAACAAACACAATGCAATATCCTTTTCAATTTCAAAGAACACAAATTGGGTTATTTACAGGTGTTGTTTTGTGTGGTAGAGGGTCGCTTTCATTGATGCGTTTTTGTTGTTTTTTTCGAGGGAAGGGGTGGGGTTCAGAGGGCCTAGGTATAAAAGTCACGGCTCGCCACTGACTCTCAAAATACCAGACTCTTACAGAGCACATGACTTTGACGTCCTCAGTGGAAGCATCAGATTTTGTTTTATTTTGAAGGCATAATCACACCACTTCCTTTGTATCTGCTGTAACTTCACAATTAAAGCAATTTAGTCCATATGAAGCCTGAGAAAAGTCACAACTGAACTGTTGTATATTTAATACAACAAAAAGGTGAATTGTGTTGCACAATATCAATCCAAACTTATGATGGAGTTGATGTTGAGCTTTGCCATGTCTTACATCAATGTAGGAGAGTTTGCAGCTCCTTAAAACATGCGATGACCAAAAAATCAACATTGCTGCAAGATAAAACTAGTTATTCACACAAACCAAGCACTCTTACATCTGACATATATCCCCACCCCACAACAGTAAACAACATTATAAGACCAATAGTAGACCAAACGTGGTTTTATTTATATATATATATATAAAAATGAAGTTTTTCAATTCATAGGGGGAAAGTAACATCTCTCGAAATAAGAAAACGTTGACATTTAAGTGTTGCTAAAAATGTACCTGCACTTTGACACATCTACCTGGAACCATAATGCCACACTTTACGCTCCTACGAAAACATGGCAGTGAGTATCTGAAGTACACTCCGCCCTGATGGATGACTCAGCAGAATATTTGAGTGCAAACTGTGGAAGAGGCACAAAGCCTGGTGATGTGTTGCTCTTTACCTGGCAGCGTCCCACAAAAACAATAACACAGCAAGGGCTTCAAATATTTCCCAGTGCAAAGTCTCAGTGAAGCTGGAAGTGTGTGTCCTAAACCGTAACCCAGCCTGCTTTGGTTGTCAGGGCGACAGCAGCCATGTTAAATGTTGAAGATGAAGGATGTAAAGGCATCCACAGGCTGCAGGGAGTTCACACTTCACTGCACTTCCTTGCACAAAGCAGCACCAGATCACTGCTACTCGTCATCTCTCCCTCCTGTTCTACTCAACTGCAACAGAAAAACACAAGACAACAATAAGACCTGGCACCGTGTGAAGGATTTCAAAAAGGTTCTGGTTTAAAGTGTTTACTTACATGCTGGATCATCAAGAAGAGAGGATGAGGGAGAAAAATAAAAATTAATGACAGGTTCACAAAGGATGTAACTTAATGCACCCCCTTGTGGACAGAATATACATTGCACCTACTTTGACAACGTCGATCCAGTCCCATCCTCTTGGCAATACCCCTTTGTGATCTGAAAGTAGAAATCATTATAATATGCACTGTTATTCTGACTAAAAACACAATCACTACTGCCTTTATTTTCCACTGGAGATCCTGAATGTTTAAGAAATGTGTATCAAGCGGTCCAATGCATGATGCAGCAGATTAAAACAACAAATATATATCCTCTTATATGCAATACTACTTCACTGTGGAAACTTAAAGTGATGTACCTGTTTTGTTGACAATCTTCCTCTTCTGGGATTTAGTCAGCTGCTCCTTCCTCTCCTTCTTCTTGGCTGTGTTCCCGTCACCGATGGATGTTGTCTGCATCAACAAAAAAGTATCAATCCAAGGAAGAAGATGCCATACAATGCTAACAGTGTTTGACGGACAAATACTCTCTGGGATGAAGTATCCAGTGAATGTGATATACTGACCACAGCAATGACGACAGGCTTGTGGTTCTCCATGAGTTCCACCTTGTTCTCCTTAGCCCACTCAAACAGAGTGTACATCATGGCCGTGCCCAGGTTAGCCTCCACCTGCTCCTCCAGCTTTGACAGGATCAGCTGCTTTGTCTCTGCAGAGCTGATAGCAAATCCAAAAAAGGAATGAAAAAACAAACCTATAACACAAAGTAATTGTCCTAGAAAAGCAGACTCAATATATTTAAATTTGACAGTTTACCCCAGTATGAAATCTAAAAGGAATTAAAATGTATTTCATGCTGAAAAATACAATTTACAAATAAAAATACCATTTAAATTAACTAAATATTAGAAATATTTGAAAACCTTGTTTTTGTGTCAATGGCTTATGGCAGTATTTCTGATTCTCTCCAGTATGCCCCAGTTCTTCCTAAATCATAATTAATCCTTTATATTTTTTCCAAGTCAAATTGATCTAATCAAAAAGAAAATAATATAAAACCTTAAATTATGTGGCTACATCCAAATACAATATTAGTGGTCCTTAAAACTTTATCTGTAAACTGTTGTGGAGTTTAAAACCATGCAAAAGGCAAAAGGCAAAAGGCGCTCAGTGAGATTCCAGATTTTTATGTCATTTTTTATTCTGAAATCAGTGTTTCTAATTTCAACTAATTAATAATAATAATAATAATAAAGCACAGTGCTTGCATCTTACATCTTGTTGTTGAAAAAGGAATCGAGGGTGATCTCGGGGGCCGTCTCAGGGTACGTCTCAGTCCATGTGACGTCCAGGATGAACGCTTTGGTGTCATCAAGGTCTCCTATCTGGTGTTGACCAATAACAAGATCAAAAACTGTTTGTTTAAGGTCATGAATTACAAGTGAAAGGGCATATTTAAAGATCTTGCTTTAATGTGATGTACAGGCACATCCTGTTGAAACAGGATGTTGGGAAGCACATGATATGGTCTTTTTTCAAAGCAGGACTGGACAGTACTCACCCTAAACTGGAAGGAACTTGAACTGATTTCCTTAAAACATTCATCCCCTTCATAGATTGACTGAAGAGCCTCCAGCTCCATCTGTGGGTAGAAGTGGGGGGGGGGGGTACAGGAGAGAGGTCAGATCGAGGAGGGGATTACATGAGCAGCAGCGTGTCACTGCACACCAAATAACATTTAGTAATATGACAAATGACCAGTGGTGTAAAGAAACTAAGCACATTTACTCAAGTACTGTACTTAAGTACAATTTTGAGGTACTTGACCTCTACGAGTATTTCAATTGTCTGCTACGTTGTACTTCTACTCCACTACAGTTCAGAGGTAAATGGTGTACTTTTACTCCACTACGTCTACATGTATTTAATACTTTAGTTACTTTACAGATTTGGATTAATGATGTGAAATATAATCAAGTGTTAAATCAGACTTTAGTTCCACCTGGAGTAAATTCACAAGCTACCCTGCAGTATACAAAGTCATTCAAACTAGCTGCACCTTTACCAGCTTTGAGAACACTTTCATGATCAATCATTATAAAACACATCATATATATTATTCTGAAATGGACCAATCTGCACAATGACTACTTTTACTTTAAAGGGGACCTATCATGCAAAATGCACTTTTGTACGTGTTTTATACATGAATATGTGTCCCCGGTGTTCCAGGGAACCCACAAAGTGTCAGAAAACACAACCCTCTCTATTTTCCTCCATACCCAAATCTCTAAAAAAGGGTCTGCAACGGATCTGATAAAAACTGATCCAGATTTGAACACTGTCCTGACGTCAGGACGGTGGCGCTACGGCTATTGGGCCAACTCTCCACCTATCAGGGGAATGTGGGGTTGGGCCACGGCCGGCCATTGCCGCTCGAAAGCGCTGGAGACGCTGTAGTACATATGCCAGGCCTGTAAGTGGTGCTGTAGTCTGCCACAAAAGCAGCGAAGAAGACTTCCCGCCCATGGTTACCATGGTTGCCCTTCTGTTTATTCTCCGCTGTGGCTTTTTTTCTCCCTCCCCGAGGCAAGCGTTTGCTCCTGCTGCTTTAATTCAATGCAATCCCTCCCCGTCGAGGCAAGCACTGTAATTCTCTCCGGTTAGTCCACCAGCGGATGACAAACACCCACCTCTCCGCCTCTTCCAAGGAACGAGGGGACCGTGCGGCAGAGTTTCAGTTTCAGTTACTTTCGCCGGTCAAGATGTCCGTTAAAGTTTAAACCTTCCGGACAAAATTAGAAAAGTGCCGGTCAAAGGTCTTCTTTGTTATTTATTGAGCTTTAAAACAAATGAATAACGACTCTATATAATAAAACACGGAGGACGGAGATCTCTTTTTCTCCCCCTCTTCTGACAGCCCAGCAGCTGATCAGAGCACGTTTCCCCTCTCCTGCAGGGGGGCGTGGTCAGCAGAATCAGACCCGTAGACAGCAAACAGCACATAGAGCGAAATGAGGCATGGCTAAAATGCATGATCTGTTTGGTATTTTGAAAACAGAAACGTATAAATATACCTTATATAGGTATGGCCCTACAATATATCATTTAAATATAGCATGATAGGTCCACTTTAAGTATATGTTGATGCCAATACTGGTCTACTTTTACTTGAGTAATATTTTGAATGCAGTACTTTTACTTGTAACAGAGTATTCATACACTCTGGTACTTCTAGTTGTACTTCAGTACAAGATCTGAGTACTTCTCCCACCTCTGCAAATTACACATTACAGGGTAAGCAGGTAAGAAAGACTCAAGTCCCTCACGAGATATTGTTTTCAACAACCATGCATGAACACTTTAATGCATCACCTGGTTATAACTCAATTCAAGATTTTAGCCACTTACTAACTTGGAAATATATGTTGTGTATACACGGTTACATTATAACACGTATTGTATTTACAAAGGGTCTTGACTAATGGTTTATTATGTGGCATGCACTCCTCCCTACAGTTAACACACATTTGAATGGCGTTAGGAGTGACATTTTCTCATTCATAAAGGACGCTTCTCAGGGCTCAACAGCTAGAAAACCCTTTGACACTGTGGCCTGAGTTCCCGCATACTGAATACAATCTCTCAAAGTGGACGTGTTTTCTATGTAACAAGCAGAAAAGATGTAGAATAAACCCGTCAACACAAACTCATATGCTAGCAGTGACGCTCGTGTCATGTAGTTAGCAGTTAGCAGTTAGCCGCTAGCAGCAGCTAGCCTCGCACTGCATCATCACTCCTACCTCCTGATCCTCGTTAGCTGTCATGATGTTCCTTCAGCTGCTGTACGATACACTCTCTGTGTACAGTTTATAATCCCTCAGAGTTAACAACCCATTGCTCTATCTAAAGCTTTGCTAAGATAATAATGCACACAACTTCCCCAGCTGATGCAGACAGTGCCACCATATTAGACGCATGCGCAGTTCGGGGCTCTTCGTGAACTTTGAACCACAGCATCAGTGGATGTGGTTTTAGGCTATTCACACTATATTTAATAATTAAGTACTATATCAAAATAGCAGTATAGTTTTTATTGAATATTACATTAATACAACAATTGACAAGCTACTTAAGACTGATAATGAATACAAAAACAAGGTTTTTTTCAGTAGGCTTTCACAGGCTTAGTTGTCTAAGTTTGGTTATTTTATAACCAATAACACATTTTATTTAAGGAATTCACTTAACCTTTATTCTACTGATTAATTCATTAATATTATTGATTGATTTTCATTTTGCTCTCTTCTTACTACTCACTTGTTATATTCTCAAGGTTGTCTTTATTTACTTTTGTGTCGGACATAGTACTTATAGTTGTAATTTGTGCTCTTTAAAATGAAAGGAAGTGGACAACAGTGATCTCATAAACACTGTACTTTACTGTTTGTGTATACAGTGGAGGAAATAAGTATGTGATCCCTTGCAGATTTGGTAAGTTTACCCACTTACAAAGAAATGAACAGTCTATAATTTTAATGGTAGGTTTATTTGAGTAATGAGAGACAGAATATCAAAAAGAATATCCAGAAATTGAGGAAAAAATAATTTGTATTTAACTGTGGGAAACAAGTATTTGATCCCTTGCAACAAACAATAATTATGGTATAAGTCCTCTTCCTTTAAAAAAGTACTCCTAATATCAACTTGTTGATAAACTTGGTGCGATTATTTGAAAATAGAAGAAACACAAAATGAGCATCAGTCGCCCTCGGTCTGGGGCTCCACACAAGATCTGGCCCCGTGGGGTATTGATGATCAGGAGAAAGGTGAGGGATCAGCCAAGAACTACACGGGAGGAACTTGTTAATGATCTCAAGGCAGCTGGGACCACAGTCACCAAGAAAACGATTGGTATCACACTACACCATAATGGATCGAATCATGCAGCACCTGAAGGTCCCCTGCTCAAGAAGAACATGAGAGGCCGTCTGAAGTTTGACAATGAACATCTGAATGATTCAGAGAAGGCTTGGGAGAAGATGATGTGGTCAGATGAGACCAAAATCGAGATCTTTGGCATCAGCTCGACACAGGAAGAGAGATGCTGACTATAACCCAAGAACACCATCCCCACCGTCAAGCATGGCAGTGGAAACATTATGCTTTGGGGGTGTTTCTCTGCTAAGGGGACAGGACCACTTCCCTGCATCGAGGAGAGGATACCGTAAAATCTTGGCCGATAGCCTCCTTCCCTCAGCCAGGACACTGAACATGGGTCATGGAGGGGGTCTTCCAGCCGGACAATGACCCTGAACATACGGCCAAGCGGCACAGGAGTGGCTAAAGAAGAAGAACATTCAGGTGATGGAGTAGCCTAGCCAGTCTCCAGACCTTAATCCCATAGAACATCTGTGGAGGAAGCTGAAGCTTCCAGATGCCAAGCATCAGCCTCAAAACCTGAAGGATTTGGAGAGGGTCTTCAGAGAGGTGTGGACCACAATCCTTCCTGAGATGTGCACAAACCTGGAGACCAACTACAAGAAGGGTCTGACCTCTGTGTGTCCAACAAGGGTTTCTCTATCAAGAACTAAGACATGTTTTGCAAGGGGATCAAATACTTATTTTCCACAGTTTATTGCAAATACATTTTTATCTTTTATATAATGTTAATTTCTGGATTTTCTTTTTGATATTCTTACTCTCACTGTTAAAATAAACCTACCATTAAAATGATAGGCTGTTCATTTCTTTGTAAGTGGGCAAACTTACAAAATCAGCAAGGGATCAAATACTTATTTCCTCCACTGTAATGTATATCAAATATATTCATTGTGTGTTAGCAGCAAACCACCATGACATAGACAGCTGGTGCTATACTAACATAAAGTAACACTAAGGTGCTGTTTACACGGGAACGAAACGGGTTGTATCCGCTACTTTTCTCTTTCGTATAGCCCGTTCGTTCACACAAGGCCGTAACGGAACCGCGGAAACTGACCCCTAAAACGATAACGCCGGGTTACGTATTGTAACCCTTGTTATATTGACACAGGCGGAGCCCTCTACTGGACTCTATGGGTACTACCTTATCATGCAAGCATTCACCTACTGAGATTTCTATAGACGTAGCCGGCCCCGGGGCGGGCCTACCTGAATGCGCGCGCATCTCACTTCCGTATAAAAGGAGACCTCGCCTCCTGACCACCATCCTACACCACTCTTCAGCGAGCGGTATAGGACAGACAGTGCCCCAGGGTAGAGGGCTCCGCCTGTGCTAATATAACAAGGGTTACAATACGTAACCCTACGTTATATCTCTCACAGGCTCCGCCCTCTACTGGACTCTATGGGTACAGTGGGCGGAGCCTCGATGTATGCACGCACTGTCGTCCAGCACACCGTTCCACCTCACTGTCCCTGACCGGCTTTAGCAGCCGCTGCGCCTCACTCACCTCTCCCTCGGTTGTAACCGTGGAGAAGTCCGGGCTGTGGCCGATAGAGCACACCCTGACGCGCTTGCCTCGCAAAAAAGTGTGCTCGAAAAACAGTGCTGAGGGCTCCCCTGCGTCCGCCTATAGGCAGACAGGGAAAGTCCGCAGCCCTGTATGGGTTCACTATGCACTCTCTCTCCTGAGTCCCTAAAGAGCACGGGGAGAGCGCAAGAGTGTGTATAGACTATAGTTTTTTATATGGAGGGCTCCTACCCGCCGGAAGGCGAGGGGAGCCCTCCAGCCCTGTAAGGGCCCAGAACACCTTACGTCACCCCGAGACCCTCCAGGGGTCCACAGAAATGTAAGGGCATTTACGCCCGGGGAGAGGGTCAGATGCCCACTGACCCACAGCCCCCCCCCTCCTCACCAGTTCTGTGTTGCCCCAGCAAGCACAGACGTTGAGAAAGAGCCAGACATATCCAAGAGATAAAACTTTAACTTTTAAGGGGCCTGGCGTTGACCAAGACGCCGCCGTGCATATATCCTCCACACTCACACCGTTGAATAAAGGTGTTGATGCAGCCACAGCTCGTGTGGAGTGCACACAGACCCACGCGGGACAGGCTTCTCCCTGCCTGCTCGTAGGCGTGTGCAATGCCCTCGCAAAGCCAGCCTGCCAGGCGTTTCTTGGACAGAGTTTTTCCAATCACCCCGCCCCCGAAGCACACAAACAACTGTTCAGTGCGTCTCAGGGTAGCTGTGGGCTCTACATAACATGCTAACGCGCGCACCGGGCAGAGGAGGTGTACTTTAGCTTCCCTGGCCCCACCATGGGGTGGAAGACTAAATCCCCCCAACTGAATAACCCTCGACCTGAACGCACTCCTTAGGCTCTTGGGCACAAAGGAGGGGTTCGGTCTGAGTGTCGCCCCGCTCCGGTCACCCCGAATCAGTAAACAGCTCGGGTGCACCGACAGAGCGGTTAACTCGGACACTCTTTTGGCTGACGTTAAGGCAAGTAGCAATGCTTTCAGGGAGGAGAGCTCCAGAGGCTCAAATGGTTCTGTGACCAGAGCCTCGAGCACCAGCGGCAGGTCCCACTGCGGGGCGGAGGCGCGCACTACTGGGCGCAGCCTCCTGACCCCCTGTAAAAACCGCGACATCAGTGGATGAGAAAAGGCTGACCTGCCGTCAAATCCCTCATGGCAGGACGAGATGGCTGCTGCATACACCTTTGCCGTAGAATGAGCACGCCCTCTGTCCACCAGTAACTGTAAGAAGGATATAAATAGAGCCCAACTCACAAAGATAGGGCTCTATTCTCCGCTCCTCACACCATCGCTGGAATCCCAAGCCACTTCGGCCTGTTAACAGGCTGTGGTGGATCCTGCTCTAGCTGCCTGGATAGACTGAATAACACTGTCCAGACAATCCACCCTGTCTCAGCCTGTCCCTCTCAGGAGCCAAGCCTGGAGAGGACGGCCCAGAGTGGGTAACGCCCCGATTGCACCTGCCTCTTGAGACATCAAGAGGCAAGCCCAGGGCTGGCCCACCTTCATCTGAGTCATTTCTGAGTACCACGGAGCCCCGACGCGATCCGGTGCTACCAGAATAACTGCCAGGACGTCTCTCGCCTCACTCTACCCTAGGAGAGGGAGAATGAGACGCAGCGGTGGAAAGGCGTATAGCAGCTTCCTTGGCCATGGCTCGTGTGCAAACGCGTCCACCCCCAAAGGCGGGTCGTCGCTCAGGGCCATGGAGAAACCACAGGGCACAGTGGCTGTTGCGCCGGCTGGCGAACAGATCCACTTCCGCTCTCCCGAACTGGGCCCAGATCTGCTTCACCACCTCCGGGTGCAGCGTCCATTCGCCTGGCAGGGGGCCGCCCCTCGACATGATGGTCGGCCCCCCTGTTCTCCAGTCCCGGGATATGGAGGGCTCTCAGAGATAACCCCACCTCTGATGCCCATAACCACAGCCTCTCTGCTGTGGCCAACAAGGCGGCGGAGCGGACTGCCACTGTGGTGCTGTTGTCGCTCCTGACCATTACATGTCTCCCTTGAATTAGGGGCATGAAATGCTGGAGGACTAACACTACCACCCGTAGCTCTAGGAGGTTGCTGTGTCGTGTTTCTGTTAGAGACCAGCACCCACCTATAGCCCTCTTCTAGGGCAAGGTCCCTCCCCCATCCTGTTCTGGATGCGTCCGTGAACACTGTGATGTAGGAGGTTACCCGTCCCAGTGGAGACCCCCTCCGGAGGTGCCCGGGAGACCCCAGAACCGGAGGTTGCCCTCCACTGAGGGGGGGGGGTGGTCACCAGCCGCCGTTTGTGTCTTGGGATCCAAACGCAGGCTGGAGAACCACCTCTGTAGGCGGCGCATATGTAGTAACCCCAACGGGACCACAACGTGAGCAGCCGCCATGAGACCCAAAGTCTGCATGACAGTTAAAGCTGTCACTGTCGCCCCCTGTCGCAGCCTGTGAACCGCCCGGAGAAGGGACGCACTTCTGCTCTCTGACAGGGAGGCGCGCAGCGCGCCTGCATCGAGCA